AGGGCCTTTTGTAAAATGTTAGGCCCGCCTTCACTTAGGGCGGGCACTGTTGCAAAGAGGGCCCCGTAGGCCTACCGAGGACACAGATCCTCGCACTCCCTCCTCCTTTACTTCGATAGTCCTCTGAGAAGTTCACTGATCTGCAGGCGCTTTTCCTTTTCGTTCTCTTTCGTATGCTGAGATGACTTGAGGTGCTGTTTTCATGAGTTCTTCTCGAGTAAACCACCGATCTTCGTTGGGGTCCAGATGGTGTCTGAATCTGACCCTGTACTGCATCACTGGATTTGGAGGGCGGCCTCTGCCCTTCCGTTTGGGAACAGGCATGATGCGATGTTCCACAATCTGGTCGATGTCGACCTCGCCGTCCATGGCTGGGGGCAGCATTGACCGTCTGGATGGAAACTGTGCAGTTTCTGCAAAAGGTGCCAGTTTGGATGCGTGAAACACTGGGTGTGTGCGCAAGTGAGGTGGGACACGAATCACATAAGAGGGTCCACCTTCCTGATCTCCTATGATATCTAAGACTTCCCAAGGACCAAAATATTGTGGCATCAGTTTTCTAGAGACACCCAGTTCCTGTCCTAACTCAGATGCCTTTACCCAGACCCGTTCTCCTACCTGAAATTTAGCAGGTCGCCGATGCTTGTTCTCAGAAGTAACCATAGCTTCTTGAGCTTTCTGTATGTGCTCGGTGGCCTGCTGCAGCATCTTTTCATAGTTAATAGCATATTCAATGCTTCCAGGTGCTGCAGTAATCTGTTGATCAGGTAGTAGAAAGTCTAGTGCGGATCGTGGCTTCCAACCAAGATGTAGTTGGTTGGGAGTCATGACTGTGGCACTATGTACAGCATTATTATACAGGCTGGCGACGAGAGGAAGTTTCCCGTCCCAGTCGTCCTGACTTGGCTTTATGTAGTGTCTTAACAAATGCTGCACTACTCTATTCATCTGTTCCGCCTGTCCATTTGACTCGGGGTGATTCCCTTATGTCATTTGGAGTCTGGTTCCCATCTGTTGGGCTGTGCTCTGCCATAGCTCACTGGTAAATCTAACGTCCCTATCACTTACTATAGACTTAGGAAGTCCAAAATCCCTGACCCAGTTATCCATGAAGAGTTTGATGACTAAGTCGGTCTTAGCGGTCTCAGGCATAGCAATCAATCTGGCGTACTTAGTGAAGCGGTCAACTATGACAAAGACGTGTCGTTTCCCTGACTTGCTGGTCACAAGGGTGTCCATGAAGTCCATAGACACACTCTGACCGGGTCCCTCAGGAATCGGCAAGGGCTTGATAAGCCCAAGCAGAGCCTGAGTCTTGGGTTTGTCTCGTTGACAAACCTGGCAGGTCTCTACATACTTTTTCGCATCTTCCATCATGGATGGCCACCAAAATTTCTGCACTAAGTTAGCTGATGTCTTTCGGAACCCGAAATGACCAGTTGCATCGGGACACTCTCCTAAAAATAAACTACGCAAAAATTCACTATTAGGTACACACAACCTTTTATTCCCTGCCTTGTCAAGAAACAGCAAGTCGTCTACCATTGTAAACTCATCCAAGATTTTCTTGTCCTTGGCATTGAATCTACGGATGATTTCCGACATTACGGGATCTTGAGCGTAGGCCTCCACCATCGATCGAGTCAAGTCATCAGATATGTCAAACTCAGTCACCAACGCGCCCAAGTAGTCTGCCCTTCGTGATAGTGCGTCAGCCACTTTATTGTACTCTCCCTTAATGGGATCAAGTTGATAGTCATACATGTCACTTGAATCCAACGCTTGAGAGCGTCGGAGAGCACGGGCTGCGTCTTAATCCAACGCAAAGTCTCGTGGTCAGATCTCACATAGAAGAATCTGCCTAGAAGGTAGTGCCTCCAGTGGACCAGCGCTCTATAGAGGGCGTAGAGCTCACGCTCATAAGTGGATCTCGCTAGCTTCTGAGATGGCATCTTTTTGCTCATATACTCAACCGGTCTCAACTTGTTTCCTTCCTTTTGCGCAAGGACCGCACCAATGCCATATTGGCTAGCGTCGGTGGTCACAATAAACGGCTTATCAGGATCGGGAAGTTTTAGAACTTCGTAATGCATCAGAGCATGCTTCAATCGCTTGAAGGCGGCCTCACACTCATCAGTCCATTCCCAAGGGGTGTCAAGTCGAGTTAGATCTGTTAAAGGGGAAACTATAGTACTATAGTTTTTAACAAACGGACGATAGTAGCCCGTCATCCCCCAAAACGATCTGACCTCAGTCACAGTCCGAGGTCTGGGCCATCCACGTATGTTGGCCACCTTGGCATCATCCGGCCTCAACCCTTCCGAGGAGATTTCATGACCCAAGTATAAGATTCAGGTGCGCCCAAACTCGCATTTCTCCAGATTGATCTTATACTGGTGCTGTCTTAGGAGGTCTAACACGGTTCGCACGTGTTCAGCGTGCTCCTCAACAGTCTTACTAAAGATAAGTATATCGTCGAGGTACACGACAATAAACTTATCTAAGTATTCATGAAAAATCCGGTTCATTGCATGCTGGAATGTACCAGGTGCATTGCATAGACCAAAAGGCATCACTACAAACTCGTACAAACCGTACCTGGTCTGAAAAGCGGTTTTGTGTTGATCCTCAGGTCTAATCGCAATTTGATGGTATCCGGACTTCAGATCTATCTTTGTGAAGTACCGGCATCCCTGCACTCTATCCAAGAGGTCATCGATGCGGGGTAGGGGCTCCGCGTTTTTCACGGTGATGGCATTGAGGCCCCTATAATCAATGCACATCCTAAGGGTACCCCCCTTCTTCGGTACGAATAGCACAGGTGCACCATAAGGGGAAGTACTAGGCCGAATCCAGCCCTTCTTTGTGAGCTCCTTGAGCTGGCGGCGGAGCTCATCTAACTCCGCAGGAGACATCCTATAGATTCGTCCTCTAGGTACCTTACTACCTGGGATGATTTCTATAGCGTGGACAATCTCCCTTTCTACCACGCCACTGGCTCCTCAAAAAGGTCAGGATACTTTGCGACGACTACTTCTATCTCTGGGGGTGATTTAACGGCCTCCCCTTTCTCAGAGACAAAGACTAGATACATGCCCTCCTCCCGATTCTGCTTGTAGTAGTTATAGAAAGAGGTAGCGCACATACAGCCGTAGTTCTTCACTAGCCTGCTAGCCTTATGCTTTTGCAGTCTAACGGTCCTACCATTTGGCAATTTGTGCAACAACACCTTCCTATCCCAATCAAATTGTGGTTGCGCAGCCTCGAGATAGTACATGCCTAGTAGCATGTCGAATGGCAGCTCATCGCTAACTAGGAATGAGATTTTAAGTCTCATCTCCCCTCCTGGGTAGGAGAAAGTACAGACTACGTCCTTGACATAGTCTTTTACTACCATTTTGTGCTTGTTGGCTAGCGTAGAAGCTACAGCCTTGCTAAGCCACGGCACTTGGTCCTCTAAGCGCAGACTTTCCACACAAGCACGACTGATGAAATTCCGTGTAGAGCCTATGTCTAAGAAGGCACCAACTTTACGGCCACCTACATCTACTTCTACCACGAAATGTTCACCTCTAGGACCTCTACTGATCATCGCCCAAGAGTCTCGAGGGTCTGTCCCTGACCATTCCGCCTCTAACTCTCCTAAGGACTCAGACACATCTCTCGAACAAAGCATCGGTGGGTCTGAATGTGTCTGCTGGGCGATATCTGGGTCAATAGCCTGGGCCGTCGCCCGAAGGGAGAAGGTAACGTACCCACTTCGGCGCGAGTAAGAGCGGCTAAAACTCCTATTGGCCTGAGGTGTTTCCCTGGGAGCTACTCGCAGACGTACTCCCAAGGTTCGAAGATAAGCCCACCACAGTTGGGTTGGCCACCTTCGCAGTAACCTTCTTGCCTTTACACGTTCTATTAGTGTGGCCAAAGTTGCCACAGTTCATACACGTGCCTCGTGCAACTCGGTCCCTCCACACCTCATAATCTAAACCAAGTTTGACCCATGCAGGGGTCCCTTGGTCGCCTTGACCCGTGGACCGTCCTACCTTCTTCTTCCCGGTCCTCTTAGTCTTTTCCTTGATCGGTGTTACGATTCCCCCATCCGAAGTCTCACTAACCCCGTCATGCTCTGTGTCCTCCCCAAGGTCTGGGAAGTCGTCAATCTCAGTGGCTTGACCGTCGTGGTCAACAAACATGAGTTGACCTTTCTTTTTCCAGTCTTGGGGCAGTTTCTTTTTCCTACCATCTATTGGCGTTTGCTGTGCGGATCCCAATTTAGCCTCTAAGTTTAAGGCCTTCTTACTGAAAGAGGCAAAGTCATGTTGGTCTATGTAGGCCTCATCCACCAGTTTGTTCCGGACGTCTGTAGGCAGACATCTCAGATAGTCTGTGAGGAGTACGTGTGGATTATACTGCACGCCAGGTATCACAATCAGTTTCTCCACGAGGTCTGTGACTTCACGAACATTCCTGTAGCGCTTGGCTGTCAGGTTGTTGATCGCGTCTGTGGCCTTCTGAGCCCCTTGCGGGTCTCGCCACCTGTTGTACACAGTCCGCACGAATTCTTCCAATGACAGAGACTGAGCCCAGCCATCGAAGTCCTGATTGTAACCTGCTTGCTGTACTAATCCTCCTAACCACTTTGCTGCTGATCCCTCTAAAAAGGACGGAGCAACGATGACTTCCTCTTCCTTTCTTGTGAGCTTGTGCCTGACATATGTAGGCACCGTCCTCACCCACACGTCGATGTCCTCCTCCTGCTTTTTATCGCCTGAGAAAGGCTTGGGACTCAACATGGGAATCTTTGGGATCCATTGCATTTGCTGGACTACAGGTACCGGCTGGGGCTGTGTCACCCCAGACACAGGCGGCTGTACACTAACCTGTGGTCCGGACAACGGTACTGCAGTCACCACTGTCGTCGACGGTACGGGAGAAACTCTATGGACCTGACCACCAACTATTGGTACACCGCCTGTGGGAGGCATGCCAAACATGGGAGAAGAGAACTGCCCCGCAGGTGGCAGCGACATCGATGGTCCTGCACCTCGAGGGGGAGAGACAAAAGGCCGGGGTTGCTGAGGCCTCATACGAAGCCCCCGCAAGGCATCCAGTATCTGCTGCTGGCCTGCCACCAGATCATTCAACACATCCTGTTGTGTCTGCTGCGCTTCTGCAACGCATAATAGCGAGCAACGCATCGACTTCAAAGCAGGATCCCATTGCACTTCATCTAGTCCCTCTAGCTCACTCAACTCCCTAGCTCTACTCTCTAATCTGGCTTTTCTATCTCTAGCTCTTTGTCTTCTCTCCGCTGCTTCTCTCAACTCCTCCTCTAACCTCGCGTGAAGAGCGTCCGCTTCTTGGATCTCAAGATCCTCCGGTGTGAGTGGTTGCTGCGGGACGATCTGCTGTCCAGCAGCCGGGCTACCAGAACTCTGAGGACTTCCCTGTGCCTGCCCTGATGAGGTGCCCTGACCTCCGGCAGCAGCTGGGGCTGACATTGCAACCTCTGCGGTTGCACGGTCTCTAGCTTGTGCCATCTCCTGTGCAAATGCCGCACTAGCGGCTGCGTCTGCTGCCCTTCTCGCTGCCTGCCGTTCTCTGGCTTCCCAACGTTGCCTCCGTTCCTCCCCTCGGCCTAAGCTAAGAAAGGTTAACGGTAGGCTGCGTGCAGTTCTCCGGGTTATCCTCAAGTGACTGACTAGCTGTTCCCCCTCCTCACCACTATCAGAACCACTCATGGGCTAGAGTGCATGAAGTCTGAACTAGGACCCACACTGGATCCTACCTCAACGGGTCATACAAATGTGTAAAATATTATTTATTTTATTTTTACTATAAGTATTGAGAGAACAGAACAAGCGGTGACCAAATAATCAGTGTCAGATCTTGCTGGCAACTCAATATCTGATTTTAACTATTCTGAAACAGATTTGCAATGCAGCAAGGATAATACTACCTATCTGCAGCTGTCTGTCAGTTGTTAGCAGATCTGTCAACAACTAAATAATCAAAATTAAAAATTAAGTCAACCAGTGAGAATGCACGTTGGATGGAAACAGAGGCAGTAAATCCAACGGCGAAAACTATTGCTGGAACCCACCCTCCCCCTTCATTCTTCTTGAGTCATCACTTTGTGTCAACGCCCTGAGCATCTGGTTGAACAGCGTGTCTAAAGGTGTGCAATCCGGTCCCACCCCTGTGCCAMAGGTTATTGTCGAGCAAGGCAGCCACARCAYTCKTATTTACCCYCGTACRCCGACGAGCCTTMCACTCGGTTGATCTGGCTGATCAGGAGGAATTTAKAGAGMRCCCCCATCYCTTCAGGAATTATTTAACGTCGCAGTCAGGACGACGATCACAGCCAGATTCAGATCCGAGTCCCCAACCAGAAATGTTTATAGACGGTCTGGTAAGCGTCTCAAGAGGCTGCCACACCCGAGTTAACCTCTATCATGCGCAAGCAGCAGAACAAAGGACTTGCAGCGAAGCACGCGTGTACTAGTCCCAGCGGGTTGGCATGGTGACCGTGACCCGAGTGCTTCGTCCAGGGCCCTTCAGGAGCATCGCCCGTCTCCCACCAGCATGCTGCCCAGGAAGAATGTCGACTCTCAAGGTTGAGCGCTCGCGACACCTCACATTGAGAGGACTCTCAAGACAGAACTCACTTCCTCACGGTAAGAAGAGATAAGGAGGGTAGATAAGGTAAGGAGCAACGTACCTCATAATGCTGCCCCCAACCACAAATTATCTCACCAGCAATCTGACGTGCATTTCTGATGACCGGTCAATGCCTTGGCACAACACACCACGCAGTGCAGTTCCACCTCGGCTATAAATAGCCACGTCAGCAGTTCTCATCACCCACGTACATCCCCAATGTCACCTCATAGCATTACCGGCGCGCCCACCACATTGGGCCGCCTATTAATCCCTTCGCCACCACCTTCGTCACTGCCCCACCATACCAGCGAAGCACCAATCAATGGCGCGAAAGGCAAATGAGCGCTGATCGAACCAGCTCTGATACCAACTTGCAAGAGATTTGAGCGATAGCGAGATGACAGAAACCAAATCACATTTCCACATTGAGAGCGTGAAGCCACATTGAGTCTGAAAAGCAGTAATG